AATTTGAGTATAAAAGTACAGGTGGCCAAAAGTCAGTGTGCAAACGTTGGCCTTAAATAGCTCAGTCACTGAGTGCCCAATTGAAATACTTCCTTCTGGTATGACTTAGTACCACCACTGTTCGAGGAATTTGTCAACTCGAAAAATTTTCGCGTTCATTTTTTTCAAATGGAGGTCATTTTCACATTTGTTGATAGTTTGGATAATCGGATCAAGCTAAATGTTATGAATTGTGTTTGGCCATCGAATTACTTTGCCCTGAAAGATTGAGAGGTCTAGCTTCTCAGAGACCCGATATAAGCATGTATATAAAAACCGATTATTGAAAATAACGGTTTGCTTAACTCACAGTTCTTAGGTTGCCATTTTTCTTAGATTAGATTTCTAGTTCTTAAGTAGTGAGACAGCACTTTTTCAGTTGCAGTGTCCTCTACCTGTTCATTGTCCATTGTAAGATTTAGTGATTGAAGTGATTCTGAAAGAAATCTTCAATTACAATTAATATATAAGTTCTAAATATGCAGTTATTTTTTCAGATTATGAGATATTTGATCGGAAATTTGTCACAATAACGTTTAAAGTGACACTAATAAGTGGACCTTAATCGAAATTCGTATTCTCGTATTGGAATAGCTCGTACTATAATTTATAGGTTGACCTCCCACATACTGCTCTAAGTGGGAGGTCAACCTATAACTCAAATTATTGCTATTTACCAAATATGAATTGATCTTTGATGTGGCACTTTCAGCGGAAAATTTGTAATAGAAAGCGACAAACGCAGTTTTGGTGAAGGAATGTATATCTTATTCTCTTATATAGTTGTAACACTGTACAGCATGCAAGGTAATGAGGGCCAGTAATGCTGTAAATGGGACACTGCGACTCCTCTATAAACGGCCAAACATATTATCGCATTATTGAAGGTGTAGACTGTATATAGATGTAAGAACTTTCTAAATGGGAGGCGACTGGTTTTAAAATGACAGATGCTCTCTAACTTATTAAGAATTAGAGTGATAGTGATTTTACTTTATCTTGACAGACAGTTAAGTATTTACCTTAAGAAACCACGTGGAGCAACGTGCAAGGGATATAATACTTGAAAATTGACCCCCCCCCCCGCCCCCCCCGTAAACCCAAAAAATTTTGACCCAAACAAATATATTTATTATACTTACCCTAATCATAACACCATTGGGCGACATCTGTCCGACAGCGACATCGTCCGACAGCCGAATTGGGGATTTCGGATCAGTTTTCGCTGTCGGAACAGGAGCGTTTTTTTTGGCGAAACATCTGTCCAATGTTCGGATCCATATTGAATGTCGGTCACATTCGATTTCACCAAACTCACGGGTAATTTCGTGACGTTGCTCCCTATTGTTCGAATGCTGATTTGATCCATTGAATCTGATCCATCGTACGTATTGACTTGTTAAGGACAGGATTGTGCTAGCCGTACACTAACAAGCTGTCGATACATCACAGACACAGCCGACATGAGTACTTATAGAATAGCACGGGTTGTATGGAGATCATTATCGCAATCCACAATGGCAACCAATCTTCCGTAAACAGACCCAATCTGCAGCATCAGACCCGAGAGATCTGGAAACCGCGACCATTCCTGCAAAACTAAATCCTCTTCTACTCGACAACAGTCCAATGATGCACTGGGACTCTGGATGGGACGAACAGACTCGTCATCATTCTTTTTGGGGGACTCCTAAAACGGCAGATCAATGGGACGCGGAGCTTTGCGTATCAACGCCCAACGGTCCCTTCAAATCCGCACCTAATCTCTTCCATCAGAGCTCTTCACAGTCCACGGACTCTCCCTGTCCAGGCTGCACCTCCCCCTCTTCTAAGTCTCATTCCCGGAAAATCCGACGACATGTCGAGGGATAGACACCTGGCTTCTGAGGCCTGGCTACCAATACCACAATAACATTCTCATGGACTACGAGCTCGCCATGTCACGAACGCAGTTGCTTCATGCCTGCCTGCCGAGGTCGAAAATAAACTAGTAGTACACTAATGGCTCAGAGCATATCTCCAAGTTGGCAATGTTTACGTATTCAAATTAACAGTTTCAGAACACGTCCCTCTAATTGGAATGTGTTGTATTGAATTCAATCACAATTTCGGAACAAATTGTCCGTTTTTCTGTACCCTGAGTCCGGAAAAGATGTCGCTGTCGGACAATGTCGCTGACAGGAATCGTGTTACCCAGTAACCCTCACCCTGACCCTAACCCTTACCCTGAACCCTAACCCTAACCCTAAACGCTAACCCTAACCCTGACCCTAACCCCTACCCGAACCCTGACCCCTGACCCTAACCCGACCCTAACACTGACGACTAACCCTGACCCTAACCCTGACCCTAAACCCTCACCCTAACCCTGAATTGACCCCAGTGTAAATAATGGGTCAATTGTCGGGGGTAATATTGCATCAGGGTCAATTTGTCGAGAGGGGGGGGGGGGGGGGGTCAATTGTTGCGGTACCCCGTACTATATAAGTATATTCGTACGATAAACCTCATCCATTGGAATTCTGTGCCATGGGTTTCACTATTATCAACTCCGGCCAATTTTTGACTGCGCTACTCAACTCGTTTATTGACTTTTAGTTTGTGCCAAATAACAAAATTCCAAATAACTTAAGAACTTAAAGAAAGATAAAAGAAACCTGCCACTTTATAAATTTAACGCTGCCATAAAAGATTATAGCATTATAAATCTATTTGGGCATGGATTATAATTTTATAACAAATCCTGAAAAGTAAATGGAAAAACTGCCGAATTAACTTCATCACTGCCGGAATCTATCCGGCAAGGATTGATAATTACTGACAGGTCGTCATGCGAAAAATCCTGCAATTTAATGAAATCCTGCCGATTAACTTTATCATCGCCGTAATCCATCCGGAAAGAGTAGAGAATTTATAGCAAATCCTGCACGTTAATAGAACACCTTCCAAATAAACAAATACCTGCGCTGTTGATGCAGATCACTAGTTTAATTAGGCAGGTTTTTTGACATAAAAAATTAAGAGAACCCTGCGGATTTAGTGTAATATACTTGCTGATCTGGACACAGGGTAAATTAAGATTACGAGGCAGGAGTGAATTTCGCAGTCTTCTTGCAGCTATTAACTGAAGATGCTGGGGGCTGGTCATCGTCTTCAGTATGACGGTTAAATTCGCAGTGGCATGGCTGGAAGGGGCATTAATTAGTGTTTACACTGTTAGGAGTCGTGATATCTGAGGAGAACAACCATAAACACATCTTGTTATTTCTTTAAAATCCATTTTATTGGTATTTATTTTACCCAGTCAATTGCCAAATCTCACGGAAAAGAGGATCGTGCAAGAACTTGAAAAGAGCGCCGAGCATAGGGATCATGCGTACAGGGCAGTAATTTACTTACGGCTTATTAATGCTGCTAGAATAAACGATCGAATAATACAATCACATCCAAATCACTTACTGGAGCTGTGAGTACCGCGAGCTAGTCCCATCTGCAATCAAATCGGCTCCGCCCCTTGCCGCGGCCTGTTTAATTCTGCACCAGTTCCCCATTCGCGTCTTCCTCTCCTCCATTCATGTTCAGTCTTGACTCGTCCTCAGACATGGTTTTCCGTGGAGAGATGGTCAAACTGGGGGATATAATCTTAGCGATGAAAGTTTTATGTAGAATTTTTGTTTGTCGAAATGGTTTTCTAGGCCAATGAAATTTACTTGATGGAATGTCATTGTAAATGCGGAAGTTACGGGTTAACCGTTGAAATAAAACATTTGTTAAGGGCCCCATTCCAGTCACCAGCAAAATAATAGCGTCCAACTATAATCGCTACCGTAAAAATATATCATCATAACGGATTGACGATACTGAAATCTGAATGACCCCCTGATGCCGGCCTCCCATTCGCAAGATACATTAACAGCGGTGAACCAGTGGCGTAACGTTGCCTGTTGTTAATTTGATCCAGCTAGCTCTTAGTTCTAAAATATCTAGCTCTTAATTTCTACCAGATGGCCGGAGGGAGCGCGGCGGATTCTCGTGCGCGGCTTGAAAAAAAGAGCCTCGCGTGTTACGTAAAATTAACCACAATTCTAGGAAATCGAAACACAGAACATGATCTTTCTGGGTACGTGATAAGAGGGTGCCAAGCAATGCAACTACTTGTAAAACTGTAAACATGTGTCGAAATACAGTAGCTACACATACGCTGGCTCTTCTTGTTTTGCGGAAATTCGCTGAAACTCAATGATAAACTTGACATAAGGTAGATGAAGAGGTCGTCAAGGTAAAGTCAAGTTTCTTCGACCAGGTGGTTAAAGAATTATTGAATTCCGAAGTAGACAAGAACTTAGAACGGTCAAACCTTTATGTGTTAAAGCAGCACTGTAATCAAAATATGCACAGTACAGGGATAGCAAACAGAAAGATGGTCGCCGTGTTAAGTTGTTGGATGTGATTCAGTGAATTTGATGTGAGATGTCCCAACTTCTTTACACCAATCCTGTTAACATTTGAAGTCAATAATTGACTTAATGTCATACATTTGAATGTTTGTAGGATCCCATCTTCAATTATAAGTGATATCATTCTGAAGCGAGGAGAGCTAACTAGAACAACGCTTCTATAAATCTGGATTCAGTAGACAAGTGTATATACATACATTGTATATACAGTGTATATAGTATATACACTGTATATACATCATGTATATACAGTGGACCCTAGTTTGTGATTTATCCTTCACCGATACACTGCGTCAAGACACTGGGTCTTGAGTGAAGCCAAAAATACTGTATCAAAACGGTGAAATATTTGAGTAAGCCCCTTTAAACCGCGGAGAAAAGTTGTGTTTTAACACACGTGTCACAGGTGACACAGTGACCCTTATGGTAAACAGTAGTCAATAACTACACACAGTTATGGTAAGTATCAGTTATAATAAACTTTTAAAACATTTACCTGTTCATCTATTATCTGAGGTTTGATGATTATACATAGGATGTAGTTTGATAGTAGGAGGGAATAGAGCAATACTAGTAACCCTGGTAACACATCTGAAATATAGAGGTAATTAAAGTGTATAGATACTAGTAACCCTGGTAACACATCTGAAATATAGAGGTAATTAGTCTTTTCTGACTATGATCTTTTCTTAAAACAGCGACTAGGAACTAAATAGCTCTTATTCTCGGAATTAGGTGGAGATTAGTCCAAAAGTTCAAACTGTGATAGCTTAGTCACGATTATCAAGAAGGACTATAATGAAAAGCATTCCATATAAGGAGCGAACATTTTAACGTCACGCATAACGTCACGCGTTATTTACTTAAATAAATATGTTTAAAGAAATTTCCTCAATTAATTAACCTTTTGATGCACTTCTTGACTCAATATCTAAGGCTTGTAAATCAGATAAAGAGATAAAAATGTTTCATCTCACAACGAAATTATTAGGACCTCAAATAATTTTTTTTGAATTACGCGGATGTATGCTCATCGATCGAAACTGGAAAACTAATTTTAAATCTGTAAACATCATGTGCAGTTTAAGCATGTTTAAGATGCTAATGACGACAAGCTGATTGCGTGTGGATATTTTTAACCAGTTTTCAAGATTGGGGGGGGGGGGGTCCAACCCGATCGTTTCCGATCATTCCGATCCCGATTTTGGCCTCATCAACCCTCATATCGGAAAAATCGGGAAAATTTAAATCTTTCCTCTGAGGTTTCTAGGCGATATAGGTAGCCATTTCTGTACTTAAATATGACAAGAAATCGATTGGTGGTGGTCCCAGAACCCCAAAATGGTTTCTAGTTCCAAACAAGAATCGTTTCGTCCGAAAAACAACACACTGTCGTATCAACTCTTGTTTGACAGAAACATCCACCCCGGTCCACAATTGAAAGAGGTACGGTTGGTAATAACAATCGTAACAAATAGAGAACGCTTTAGTAACTTTTGATTTAAATTGTCTCCACAATTTGTAACAGGCTATCTGCAGAAATGGGTAGCACGGTTAATGACCATTGACCGTGCAACCCATTTCAAGAGGAGGACTGAGGACGGGGAGGAGGAGGACTAAGAGAACGCGAGGGCTAAGGACGACGAGGACTGAGGACGAGGACGAGATCGAGGACGAGGACTGAGGAGGAGGACTGATAAGAAGGAGGAGGAGGACTGAGGATGACGAGGAGGAGAAGGAGGACTGGGGGAGGACTGAGGAGGAGGAAGAGGACTGAGGAGGAGGACTGAGGACTGAGGAGAAGGAGGACTGAGGAGGACAGAGGAGGACCAGGACGAGGACTAGGAGGATGAGGACGAGGACTAAGGACAAGGACTGGGAGGATGAGGACGAGGACTAAGGACGATGAGGATGAGGACGATGACTAAGTACGAGGAGGAGGACGACTGAGGAGGAGGACTGATTAGGAGGAGAAGGAAGAGGAGAAGGAGGAGGAGGGTGAGGAGGAGAACTGAGGAGGAGGAGGAGGAGAAGGAGGAAGACTGAGAAGAAAGAGGAGGACTGGGGAGGACTGAGGAGGAGGAGAAGGACCGAGGAGGACTGAGGAGGAGGAGGACTGAGGAGGAGGAGGACTGAAGAGGAGAGGGAGGACTGAGGAAGAGGAGCAGCTCATTGGTGAGGAGGAGGAGGACTAAGGACGAGGAGGACTGAGGAGGAGGACGAGAGCGAGGACGAGGAGGAAGACTAAGGAGGAGGACTGATAAGAAGGAGAAGGACGAGGACGAGGACTGAGGAGGAGGACTGATGATGAAGAGGAGAAGGAGGACTGGGGGAGGACTGAGGAAGAGGAGGACTTAGGGAGGACTGAGGAGGAGGAGGACTGAGGGAGGACTGAGGAGGATGATGAGGAGGAGGACTGAGGATGAGAAGGAGGAGAAGGAGGACTGGCGGAGGACTGATGAGGAGGTGGACTGGGGGAGGACTGAGGAGGAGGACGAGAGCGAGGACGAGGAGGAAGACTAAGGAGGAGGACTGATAAGAAGGAGAAGGACGAGGACGAGGACTGAGGAGGAGGACTGATGATGAAGAGGAGAAGGAGGACTGGGGGAGGACTGAGGAAGAGGAGGACTTAGGGAGGACTGAGGAAGAGGAGGACTTAGGGAGGACTGAGGAGGATGATGAGGAGGAGGACTGAGGATGAGAAGGAGGAGAAGGAGGACTGGCGGAGGACTGATGAGGAGGTGGACTGGGGGAGGACTGAGGAGGAGGAGGACTTAGGAGTAGGAGGAGAAGGAGGAGAAGGAGGAAAAGGAGGAAAAGGAGGAAAAGGAGGAGGAGGACTGAGGAGGAGGAGGAGGACTTAGTAGTAGGAGGAGAAGAAGGAGAAGGAGAAGGAGGACTGAGGAGGAGGAGGAGGAGGACTGAGGAGGAGGAGAAGGACTGAGGAGGAGGACGAGGAGGATGAGGACGAGGAGGAGGACGAGGACTGACGAGTAGGAGGAGGACTGGGGACTGAAGAGGAGGAGGACTGAGGAGGAAGAAGATGAGAGCTGAGGAAGAGGACTGAAGAGGATGAGGAAGAGGAGGAGGACTGAGGAGTAGGACTGATGAGGAGAAGGAGGAGGAGGACTGAGGAGGAGGACTGAGGAGGAAGACTGAGGAGGACGAGGACGAGGACTAAGGACGAGGAGGAGGAGGACTGATTAGGAGAAGAAGAAAGCGGAGAAGGAGGAGGAGGATGAGGCTAGGAGGAGAAGGAGGAGAATGAGGAGGAGGATTGGGGGAGGACTGAGGAGGAGGATAAGGAGGACTAAGGATGAGGATGAGGACGAGGACGATTATGAGGAGGACAGAGGATGAGGACTGATGAGGAGGAGAAGGAGGAGGATGAGGAGGAGGAGGACTGGGGAGGACTGAGGAGGAAGAGGAGGATGACTGAGGAGGAGGATGAGGAGGAGGACTCAGAAGGAGGACTCAGGAGGTGGAGGAGGATGAGGAGGAGGACTCAGGAGGAGGAGGACGACCTGATGGGGAGGAGAAGGAGGAGGAGGATGAGTAGGAGAAATGAGGAGGAGGAGGAGAAGGAGAAGGAGGAGGACTGGGAGTAGGACTGAGGAGGAGGAGGGGACTGAGGAGCAGGGTGAGGAGGACTGAGGAGAAGGACGAGGACGAGGACGAGGAGTCAGGAAGAGGACTGAAGAGAACTGAGGAGAAGGACTCAGGAGGAGGAGGAAGACTTAGGAGGAGGAGGAGGACTGTTGAGAAGGAGGAGGAAGACCAGGGAGGAGGACATGTAAATGTTTTGTCTGTTTTTGTCCGTTTTTGTTCGCCCTACTTTTTGTCCGTTTTGAAAATATAGGGTACCGAACGGACACAAAACATGATCCCCCAGCCAAGCATGTGTTACGATACAAATGTACTTGACTATACATTTAAGGTGCAGTGTACTAGTGATATTATGGTATGTTTAAAGACCGGACCACAAAATATAACCCGGTACCTAGTGTTGTACTAATACATAATAACAAGTAACAGGGATAAAATTAATGAGCAGAAACAATCGATCTCACGTCAAAAGGCCAAAGCACTCGGGTCTGGGAGTACATGACAACTCCAACTAGTAGTGAGCATACTAGCGCCCCTGCAGTGGAAAAACACATAAAACATACTATTGGAATGTCCAATTGGTTCGTTTTCTCATAAAAATATAGCATATGGAGGGGTTCTGGTTGAATTATATCACTTCTGAGAGGTTTTAGAGATCGATTCTGTTAATTTCTCAATTTTCCGATTTTTCCGATTCCGATTTTGGCCTCATCAACCCTCATATCGGACATCGGGTTGGACCCCCCCCAAGATTTAACCAAACGTTCGACCAGTCGTTTGACCTATGAATTGATCTGGAGTATGCTGCAGCTCGGTACGACGGTACTTGGTACCTGATCCCCCCCCCCCCGGTAATCTCGAGAGTTACAGCAGCTCGGTACTTAGTACCTGACCCCCCCCCCCCGGTATGCAGCAGCTCGGTACTTAGTACCTGACCCCCCCCCCCTCCGGTAATCTCGAGAGTAACATCAGTAGAATAGCATCGGAATGTGCAACGTCAATTTATTTGAAAAGTTTCTACACTGTCACCTTCATAGCGTCATATCATTAAACAAGGAATTTTAAATAAAAACGAATTTTCAAACATTACATTTCTTGTCTCAAAACGAAGGTGACCAAGTGATTTTGGTAAATTACCCACTAGTTACCATAGTTACACTACTAGTAACCCTGGTAACACATTTTTTTTTATCTAGACACTTATTTTACTTCGGTGTATTCCAACAGCCACAATGTTACACAAGTGCAACCAGCCAATTACAGGAAGCCGAAGGATGTGTTATCATGCTCCAAAATCGGTGTTAAAATTTACAGCGCGTGTTTCGAATGATATCGTTGTGTACAAAATTACAATACAAATATCTACATGTGCTTGTGTGCAGCATGTCATGTTTTATTGATATAATGTCACAGTATTGTGTTACATCGCTTTACAGCCAACTCCGGTATGCGATATAACTTTATACCATATAAGTATTATATATCTTATCACTAAATAAAGGTAAAGATAAAACATTTTAATTAATACATTTATGAACTGAACTCAACAATAATACATTTTACATTGTGTGTTAATTGAAGACTGAAGAATGATTATACGGGTATATGACCCCCAGAATATAGGTCGTTTTTTGAGCACTTAGAAACAGGTGTTAAAACTACTTCTAAGCATGTTTAGGGCTGTAAATATGTACATAATAACCCTTTAAATGTTTCTTGGGTAGTTGAAAATAATTATTAGGTTTTTAAGTGTACTTTTTTTTCACCTGTAAAAATACCATTTTTTAACAGGGCCCCCAGAATATAGGTCCAAACATCTGTTCCTAAGTTGTTCTAAAATTGTCACAGACAGTTATATGCAGTCAGAATATGTTGCTGAGACTGTATTGATGATGCCAATGGCTCCAGATACTAAATTGAAATGGTTTAGAGTATACTTAATAGCAAAAAATCAAAAACTACGGCCCCCAGAATATAGGTATGCA